TTTGCATTTACAGTGATAATATCTGTGTGTGTGTATGTGTGTATGTGTATGTGTGTGTGCGTGCTCACCAAACAGCTGGCTTCTACCATCTGCTGCTGTTCCACCGCCTGTGTGTGTGTGTGTGTGTGTGTGTGTGTGTAGCTGGTTTCCTCAAGACTATTACAGGCAGCCGTGTAACTTCCACATTATCCCAAAATATAATGTCTGCATAAAGCATTTGTCACTGTTTTATTGAAAACAAAACAAAATGGTGACAATGGTAATTAAGCATGGATATAAATGTAACGATGAACTTCCTATAAGATACCACCTAAGACAAGAAGAGATTTATTTTTGTTATTTTGCAATGCACTTTCCTTCGTTTATTGCTATTGTATATCAGTAAGGTAAGTCCGTATGTTTTAATGCTGTATAACCTCATTACACAAACTTTTATAATCAGCTGAACTCACGAGTGATGAAGGGAGAGAGACCTGAGGAACCTGTTAGTTGTAGGTCTGAGCGCTGCTGCAGCTGTCAAAAGCCGCGCAGAGAAGGACTGACAGGTAAAGGAAGGTCATGGTAGTTCTGTGAATGAATCACTGGGGTGCAGAGACCAGAACGAGACCAGAGAGGGACTAGAGAGAGTCTGGAGAGAGACCAGAGAGGAAGACTCGAGAGGGAGAGAGCAGAGAGAGCCCAGAAAAAGACCAGAGCGAGAACAAAAATAGGCCAGAAAAAGACCAGAAAGGACCAGAGAGAGAGCAGAGAGAGAAACCAGAGAAAGGCCAGAGCGAGACGTAAGAGAGACCAGAGAGAGAGACCAAACAGAGGTCAGAAACATACCTCAGAGAGACCAGAGAGAGACTGGAGAGAGACCAGAGAGAGACCAGAAAGAGACCAGAGAAAGGCTAGAGAGAGACTGGAGAGAGAGAGTCTTCTGGTCTCCACACAAACCACAAAGGTTTTCTTCTTTAAATACAGGAAACTGCCATGTCATACCAGCGGTTTTAACGCTGTTGGAGTTCACATTGCGGCACTCTTTTAATGCTCTACATATTAATTGCCAATGTCTGAACAAACATCACATTTCTTTTACTGCTCGATCTATGTTTAAGCAGCACAACCGTAGAGTAAGATTCCCACAGAGCAGATTGTCGATGGAAAACCCAGAATAAAAATGAAGGCTCATGTAATAAAACAGTGTCTCCCAAAGTGGGGTCCGCGGCCCCCTGGTGGGCCGCGAGGGTACTGCAGGGGGGCCGCGGGAGGTCATAAAAAAAAATAAAAAAATTATTTAATGTTAAATTTATAATATTTTGTTTGTAATATTAAAATATTTGTGTTCATTATTTGACTTGAATAATCCACTGTAATAATTTTTGTATTACAATGTTTGTAGCAGAGGCTATTTCCCCAAAATAAAATAACCAGAAGAGCCTATTCTTAATGTTGTCTTCTTGGTTATTATTTTGGGGGGCCACGCAGACCCGTCAGATTTTTAAGGGGGCCTCGGTGTTACTGAGTTTGGGAATGGCTGTAATAAAACAAGCTGAGACCGTCCGGACCTTGAAACGAAAACTCCCTGTCATTTCTTTTTGAAGTAAAATTACAAATGTACAATTCTTTGAAAGCTTAACCTAACCCATGTAGCGCACGTTAGCTTCTCCCTTTGGTTGTTAATCTTTGGCTCGGAGCAATCGAACAGACTGGAGGGGAAAAGAGCGGCGGATCGGGAGGTGGTGGGGGGTTAGTATGCTAAAATCCACCAAAAACAAGGCACTGGAGACATATGGTTGTGCCGTTAATTAGGGAGCCCATATTACAAGATAAATCAGAGATGGGAGGAAGCTTGTGAGGAGCGGGAGATGAGGGAGACGAGGGAGGAGGCAGGCTGACACTGTGTTGATTTGAGGAGGGCCTGGGGGCAGCCTGGGGGGCCAGAGAGGGGAATGATAGACTGGCTAACCACGCGCCGATCAGACTACTGCTGCTGCTGCTGCTGCTGCTGCTGCTGCTGCTGCTGCTCTATGTATGAGGCTTTCCATCAATATAAGGAACAAGTGCAGTGGCAAGTGTGAGTCAGTCAGACACTCACTTAAGGGCTTCAGAGGGCGCCGAGAACTGCAGAGTGTCACGCGCTTTTACCAAAATCAATTATGCGTCGTGTACAAGGCTGACGGACTAAGAGTGTTTCACATGAAGAAGTCAGATGGCGACAGAGTGAGCAACTGTACGCGTTCAGAGAGATTGTATAAATACTTTTTCTGGTGTGAGGTGTCCAAGGTCAAGGTTGCCAAAGACGATAAGGGGTGAAGAGATGAGTAGGTTTCCTCTAGGTGCTCCGGTTTCCCCGATGACTTAAAACGTGTGCAATAGGTTTGATCTAGCCTGGACTCAGCAATCCATAAACTCTGGTCCATGATCATTTTCTACATGTACGTCTGGTCTTACCATGTGTAAACTCTGGTCCATGATCATTTTCTACATGTACGTCTGGTCTTACCATGTGTAAACTCTGGTCCATGATCATCTCCTACATGTACGTCTGGTCTTACCATGTGTAAACTCTGGTCCATGATCATTTCCTACATGTACGTCTGGTCTTACCATGTGTAAACTCTGGTCCATGATCATTTCCTACATGTACGTCTGGTCTTTACCATGTGTAAACTCTGGTCCATGATCATTTCCTACATGTACGTCTGGTCTTACCATGTGTAAACTCTGGTCCATGGTCATTTCCTACATGTACGTCTGGTCTTACCATGTGTAAACTCTGGTCCATGATCATTTCCTACATGTACGTCTGGTCTTACCATGTGTAAACTCTGGTCCATGATCATTTCCTACATGTACGTCTGGTCTTACCATGTGTAAACTCTGGTCCATGATCATTTCCTACATGTACGTCTGGTCTTACCATGTGTAAACTCTGGTCCATGGTCATTTCCTACATGTACGTCTGGTCTTACCATGTGTAAACTCTGGTCCATGATCATTTCCTACATGTACGTCTGGTCTTACCATGTGTAAACTCTGGTCCATGATCATTTCCTACATGTACGTCTGGTCTTACCATGTGTAAACTCTGGTCCATGATCATTTCCTACATGTACGTCTGGTCTTACCATGTGTAAACTCTGGTCCATGGTCATCTCCTACATGTACGTCTGGTCTTACCATGTGTAAACTCTGGTCCATGGTCATTTCCTACATGTACGTCTGGGTCTGATCCTAGTGGCTGCAGTTTCCTCGGTTGAATCCCCTCCGACCAATCAGAGAGCGGGGGAGGCGGGTGTTGTAGGTCGGTGTCGGTGACGTCAAGAGTTTGTGCTGAATTTGCTGGTTGTAGTTTGTCGGAGAATGCGATAGTAAAATAATCTGTTCTGGTTCAATCCAAATATCAAGAAAATGAAGCCGGAGCAAGAGGAATGTTTAGTAAATGTCATTGAAGCAAAGATGTTGTGGCTCTACTCCACACGGGCTCCGTTAGCGGCAAAGGAGATGGCTAAAGCTAGGCTAATGGCTAAAGCTATGCTAAACGCTAAATGCTTCACTCACTCGGGCTCATTGCATACGTCACGGTAAACTCAGATCCGGGGAGTTAGCCCCTCCCACCTGTTCACAGAGTCAATGGAGCAGATCCAGACCTTAGTATGAAATGAAATTAGTACTATGGTGTGGTACGACCAGGCTAGGTCAGACTGAGTGAGTGAATAAAAAACTTGCCTCTGCCCAGGAACTATGGATAAAAATGAGTTAGTACTATGTCTGCTCTGTACAATACATTTACTGTAAAAGGTCCGTATCAAATAAATTCATTAAATAAGAATACATTTTGTCTTGTTTGTATTTTTAATGCGCCATGGTGGTTAGAACCCTCTCTGCTCGGCAAGAGGGTCCCAGGCTCGAAAACCAAACTTGTGAGCACAATGCAAGACTCTCTAATATTCTATTGTGAATATCTTGTACTGTGATGTCATAATGATCTGCAAATGTGATGTATTTTTATGTCTTAGGACCAGGTCTGTGAATTAGCGGTTAGCTCCACGGCGCTCGGTTATTTCTATCAATGCTTCCTATAAAATAAACTCATAGTATTAATAATAATCGAGGGCTTTTCCGAGTTTGCATAGACCTCCGGGTGCCAAATCAAATCTTCTTCATTCTAACCATGTGAGAGCCTCGGAGTCGTTCGCCGTCATGTCATCATTTCGGGAAACAATTATTTACAATCCCCTCATCACACTGCGTTTACTTTCTCTCCTGAGCGTTTATAATTCTAGGAACACACACTCTCTACATTTACTACATTGTCATTTTCAAGCCACAACTGCTGCACATCCAGTGACGCAACACACACACACACACACACACACACACACTGGGCCCGCTCGCCTCAAATTCTCTCAAAGTCGGTCCGCTCCAACAAAAGTAAGTAATGTGTAATGGGGGTGCTGCTCTGCTAATGCGTCCAGACCCCGCTGTTTGGACTGAGGAAGACGGCGCTGGAGGGAGGAAGGCGGACGGCAGAAGGTGTCGAAACAAGACGCTCTGTGTGGGCCCCATTATTTCTACTCCCCATTCTCTTTTTCCCCTCTTTCCTTTTGAAGACGGCAGGATTTTTCTCCTCCTCCCTGACATAAAAGTAAACAACGTTGCCTGCAGGCACAATTTTCCCGGCAACACAATAAAATGTGCAGTGAATTTATGATGGTCATCCATTAGCTCTTACCAAGGAAACATCACCGTATCTGTCGTCCATCATCATAATAGAGGGTTAATGCACTGAATTTACATAAAAAAGTCATATTGTCTGCATGAATTATTTACACCCTCAGCTGTTTTTTCCAATTTCCCGTTTTCTCCTTCCCCGCTCCGTCCTCCGGATCGTGGCGAGAGAGGTTTGCGTCCAGATTCTTGGGGAGAAAATCTGACAGTAAATTCAGCCGTGAGGTGATTCGGCGGAGGCCACCTCTCTCCGTACCAATATTTCTCTCCCTCCCCGCCTCGTACATTACTCTTCCCACTCCCCCATTTGTGTGTCGGGGGCCGGGGACAGTGAGCTGGGGGCTTTGTGATGGCTTGTTTATGACCCTCTGGTTGTTATACAGTCACTAAAATCCTTCAGCGGGCTCCCAGATTCACTTGTAAACCTATTTTATTACAATATGAACTTTGACTGCGACCGAGGCGAACAGAGAGAAATGTCAAACGCTCTTGGATCGTGGCAGTGACGTGGATAAATACAAAGTCATTCAAGATTTTTTAATATTAAATCTAAAAGCAATAGAAATCCAATGTTCAATATTGTTAAAGGGCACAGAAGAATTAAAAATCAGTGTGATCTAAAATTGATAATGAGGCAATTTGGTCCAATTCCTCAAAAAGTGATCAGCTTACTCGGCCGATGAGTAAGTATGTAAGTAATCTTTATCTATATGGCACATTTTTACAGACCGAGTTCACCAAAAGTGCTTTACAATGTTCAGAGTGTGTTCCATTCCCTCCACACGGTGATGACAGAGGCTGAACACACTGGTCCATCAAAGCCTCCGACCAAACACCGTCCATTCACTCACTCAATACATGCAGACCTATTGAACATATTTCTAGTGGTAGGGGAAACCGGAGCACCCTGTTGAAACCTACGCAGACATGAGGAGAACATGCAAACTCCACTCACAAAGGCCCTGTTCTGATCGGGATTCGAGCCCAGGACCTTCTTGCTCGACAATGTGGACAACGAAAGATTGAAAAATTGGTTTCAATATCAAAAGAGCAGTTCATGAAACATATCGATTCAAATTCAATTAAATTACAACTATTTTGTAATTGAATTGTCTCGAAGGACTTTACAAAGTTGTCAATTCGGCCACAACAGAAAAGAGAATCAAACTGTTTGAAGACGGGAAATACAACAATAAAAACCGAAAGGCAAAGAACGACTTAAAAAAAACCCAGAGAGAATAAGTACAAAACCTTGCAGAGGTCCGTGTTGAGAGAAGGAGACAGGCTTTGTATCCAGGACTCAGACTGTAGAACGAGGACTGGTCTACACCTGGAGTCCTGCAGAGAGGATTCAGAGCCATGTGTTTATGGGTCATCCAGCTCCCTGTGGACCAATGGTTTGTTATTAATGCATTTTCTATTGAATTCTCTGATCCGACAACTTTGTAAAGTCCCGCGAGACGACTGCTGTTGTAATTTAGGGCAATGCACAAAACAAATTGAATTTCATCTGTTTTATTTCAGTTATTTTGTATTTTATGTATTGGAGTTCTGCTGGGGGCGGGTCACGGCTCAAAAGTGTCCAAAATGACGTGCGCTGACATGCTGCAATACCACCCCGGGCCTGTGGGGGTGGACCCGGAATAAGAATTAGCCAATGCTAACACAGTCTAGTTTTGTCGCTGTGAATTTTTGAAGTCACTCGTTTAAATGAATGGAGCCCGTGCAGCTGACACATGCGCAGATGAGTTTTTTCACATTTTCCAGCCGCCGCGGCCGTTTTGAAACTGCCCATAGGCCGCAGAAGTTAGAACGGGGGAGATAGGCGTGACTACGTTCGTTAATATTTACAGTCTGTGGTTCTGCTCCTTTCACCACATGACAGTAATGCTCATTCGATTTCCCTTCTGCAGTTTGACAGACATTTTCAAGAGCCAATAAAACCACAGCCAACGCTTGCCTCGCCTCCTTCTAATTCGTTAGTGGTTAATCTGATAGAACTCACACACACACACACACGCACACACACACACACACACACACACACGAGTGCCGGGGCTTACTATAAGTGAATTATTCTGCGATCACACTGGTGTAATGAAGGCTTGTACCGGCTGCTAATAGCTGCCTCTCAGACCCGGGGGAGATCCTCTGTGATTGAGCAATTATGACAAGCTCAATTACTTTCATCATATTATCACAGCTAATCCACACTACCTCTTCATCCCAATGCCCCAATCCCGATTCTTTTCCTCTCTTTCCCGTGCACTGTCAACCCCAGCCACTAATGCGACCTCCAACAAGCTCAAATCTGTCAATCTCACCGGTGGCTGTCTCTCTCTCTCTCTCTTTCTGCTATCGTGGCATAACACAAAGTCTCCGGGATGGATGTCTTAATTTTTTTCTAATTCGGTCTGACAGTGCCACGGGCATCGAGGCGTCGCCGGGTTTGGATTTGTGGCGGCGCCCTGACAAGAGAGCAGTTCTGGTGAGTTATCTGATATGGCTAACGTGCTAAGTGACGATCACGGGGCCGGCAGAAGTGGTGTGGTGCAAAGTGGAGATTAATGGAAGGATGTGACAAGATAAAAAAGAGAAAAGAAAAGTGGAGAAAAAAAAAGAGAGAAATTGCAGGAGATGAAACGGATCAGGGTTGATAAATAGCAACAGTAGCATTGGGGTCGTTAGTGAGAGTAATGTGAGAGATGTCACATGGACACTGTGGCACTTTGAAAATGGGATTTCTTTGATTTGCGGAGAAAGACCTTTAACTGTGTTTTCGAAGCAACAAAAACAAGATTCAAGATTTATATATTTTGATATCTTTTGAAATAGAAAGTGTACGGCTGTTGTTCTGTTGAAAGGGAACACCAATCCCTGTGATACTATGACAAAGGTACGTTTTTGTTTGTGATTACTTAAAGGCATTGAGGGGGATCAAGACTATGGATCTTCCTACATGTCAATCATTCTGGTGAAGCCAATAATTCCCTTTGGCTAACGTGTCCACAATTTGGTACAGAAATCAGACTAAAGATTCTCCAAGTTTAACATCTGCATTTAATTATCTTTACAATCAGATACAGAATATTCAACAAAAGAGCTCCTATTCTATGCCTGCTCTATCCCTGTGCGTTGCCCCTGTCCTGTCTGACCTCAAAACCCTCCGAGGGCACATATACGGGAGACTTCCGATGACGTCATCCATACGCGTCCAAGGGTGGGGCTTTCCGGGTGTGCTGACGTCCCTTGTCCACTGGGAGGCGTTAGAATGCTGTTGGTAAATTCCCTTTCCGCCTGATGGTGAGGGACTTTTGCTCTGTCAGCAGATAATGTTTATTATCGAACGTTAATAATTCGCCTTGTTCAAAGGCGATATCTTTTTATAATTCCCGTCTGCTTATCCTGTGTCCTTGTGACTTAATCCCTGAGGGCACAGCTCTTTTTGCTTGGGAAAGAGACAAGAGTTCAATTCCGGGTCAATCAAATTCACATCTGCCTTTAGTCTATATTTAAAATATACAACAACACCCTATAGGCTTACACCAGGACGTGTTTAGTTCGTAAATGATTAATATTCTCTCCTAATAACGTCATCAGCCTATGTTGCCGCAAGGCTAGCCAGGTACATCCCGGGACCTTTGTCATCGCTGTACGTTGTTTACACTTGCTTTGTCAGAATCATGTCAGGACCGTTATCAAAGTTTAATAAAACTGTCTCTGAGTTATTTGTTTGCTTTTTATTTGCATAATTATAGCGGTTTGACCTAATGAGTCTATGCTAACTAGCAATAAATCTGTCAGTCCATAAACCCAAATATCAAAAATGTGTATACAAAGTTTTGAAACAAATGAGCTATCTAAATTGTTAACATTGCTAAATAGTTGTAAACTTCATTTGATTTCATGTATTTTTATTAAAATGAACTTAAAATTGGGGCTAAGCTGTTTCAACCTGTCATAATTGGCTTCTGTACCTGTATTGTGTTTGCTAGTTTAGGATGGCTATCATCTCTACACACTACACAGAACCCCTGAATAGTTCTGATCGTGCAGGTTATTTTCATAAATTGGTCCTCTGCGATGGGCACCAGTTCCTGATCCACACACACTGCAGACCAGCAAGATGTAAAACATCATTTGGTCAGACTTCGTTTGCAGTCAAAGAGCCACAGCTCTGGAACATTTTACCTGCTGAACTGAAATCTCTAATATTTTTATGCCTTAGCGACTGCCAATTATCTGTTTGCTATACGGCCTATGAACATGGCATTGGTTACCTGTAACAATACTTTTTGTTCTGTGCCTGTCAAATAAACATGTAATAATAATACTATTCTCACAGAACAGTGGGTTGTAGATAGGAGAAAATGGCCATCAGTTACCTGGCCTAATATCTATAATTACCTCACTCAGGCCCCCGGTGTCTATACAAAAGAGAACCTAAATCATATAAATCTATCGATGCAGACAATTATGTGTTATATAAAGAATGTGAAATACTTTTGACTCTGGTACTGAGTTCCGTGTTTTGAGGCAGATGTGCTCCCCAGTCAGAGAGTGGGCATTAAGTCAAAGCCGTATGATGCCTGGGAGTAACTATGGCCACAAAGACTTGGGGTACATCCTTACCCTGAACTGTTCTTGTATGGCAGAGTATGGACATGTAACGGGTGTGGGCACCGTTGTAACTTGTTTTTATTGTTCAATTACAGTCTTGACCTGGTGCACACCCGTGAACCCCTTTATTAGTGTAATCTACGTTGTGTTCCATGTTCTGCGCTGTCTGAAGAAGGACCACGACACAAGGAGGACCACTGGATGACTTTTACTAGTAGTTATGCACAAAATAAAAGAAAACATAAATCCACATCACGTCTCCCCATGCATTCGGCTCAGCAGTCCTCTCCACAGATGCAAGGCACAGACTATGGTGCTCCTGATAAAGGAAAAATGCAACATTAGCTCAAGTTATTATTGCCTTTTTAGTGGTATACAGGTTGATCACTTTTGTTCTCCAGTTGTTGTAATCAAGGAAAAACACCACACACTTCGTGGTTTTAGAGCTGAATACTTTAGCACTAAAGTATTTATGTGCTTTTGTTGTGACTAGAAGGCTACACAGGCTAAATCATGAACAGCTGTTTCTCCTCAGACTAAAACGAAGGAGCTAACTTAGCAAGACAGCTAAAATGCTAACTGCCGGTTAGCATTTAAGCTGTTCGAGCTTGCTTTAACTTGACTGATCATGATAACTACATCTAGCGACATCATGTAACCTAGTGAT